AGGAAGATTCATGGGTCCTGAAACTTTTCCCTCTAAAAATTTGAAAGTATGGGAAAGAAATATCAGAATATTATTTGTTCTAAAAGGTCTCCAGTGGGGGCTGCCCTATTATTTTTCTGTATGATGAGAGCAAAGTTCCCTTTGCACACAGCTGGCACAGAATATTTATTGAGAAAGATCCTCATTCTTACAAGAGACACAGATTTTAATAGCTCAGCAGTCCAGGCACTGGCAGCCCTGGGGGCTGATGGAATAAGTCTTGCAGATGGAAACAATTATTTAGGAAGGGAAGGACTCCTGCATGCACGGAGCAACATCTCACTAAAACTGAAGCCTCCCACCAACACATTCCAGACTCTTGGAGTAATTTGCTTTGGGGAGTACGCTTTAAGCTACATCAGCTTTTGTATTTCTTTTTCCAATCTTAATTGCAATCACAAAACATACTCCCCTGCAAACTGACCCAACAGTCTGACCAAACAGCAACAAATACCAGGAGATATTGCAAACATCTGAAACTCAAACCAATTTAGACACCCAACTCTTCAAGCAACAAGTTCTGATTCCAGACAAGCTTTCCACTACACAACACACCTGGAAGGACTTACCCACCCAATCAATAACTCTGTAGTGGATGACTTACACCTAAAGTCTGTGGAATAAATAACGAATAAATCACACAGGCTATACTTGACATGTAGTTCACCAAACTGAAGTGTTTTACAGAAACCAAAGTAATGAGTCTTGGAAAGGGACAGAATTTCCAAAAGCACTAATTGATTAGAAATATCTAATTAAGGTTTAGTCCTTTCAAGCCAGCTGCATAAAGAATATTTAATATAATATGTTGAAGGAGAAAAGTAACTCCAGCAGGTTTCAATTAAGCCTCGTTGCCATATGGATTTTGCATCCACAGCAGGAAGGCTCAAACATCATGTCACAACTAAGATATTTTTATGTCTCCAACTGAAAGCATTTAAACTGCTTGGAATAGAAGCATATGGGCCATAACACCCCCAATTAAGAAAATATTTTGCTGAACTGGGAGCCTAAAAGGCATATGAAGCTATAATGCATGATATTGTTGCTCAGGTATGGTGGTTTCTAGTTTTAAAGGATGTAAAAAGCTAAGAGTGTATTGCATGTATGCCCTAGTGACCTCCCTACCCAGAAGAGAAGATCCCAGTGCAAGTCACAGAGTGATTTTTAAGGAGGCCCTGGAGGGGTGGGGGCCCCTTTGCTGGGCAGACAGGGAAGGGCACTGCTCCTGGAGCAGTTTGCACCATCTCAGGCAGTGAGGGGCTCCTCAGGTCACTGCCTCAGCCAACCTCCTGCTTAAAGCAGGGTCAAACACAGCCAGAGCAGGGTTCTGAAAGCTTTGGCCAGATGGGTCTTGTAAAGAACCCAGGTGCCAGCATCTCTTTGGGCTCCCATTTCAGCACTCCAGTGAGTGATATTTTCCTTAAGGCAAGCTGGACACTCACCCATTGCAGTTTATAAAGCTTTGACAAGTAACACAACTCTCCAACTAATCAAAACTAATCAAAAATGCTGTGAAGTGGGAAACAACATTTACGGTTTTTTCCTTCCCATATTTTAAAAAAATTACTTCAAAAATGTGTTTTGATTAACCCAAGAGCTCGGCTGCTGTTGCTGCTGCGCCCTCTTGGGATCTTGAGGCAAACATTCAGTGTTATTTTTCTTCATACAGCTTGGACCCAAGAACCCAAATTCCTCTTTACTGGAAACAGATGTCAACCAAGTTAAATCATCCCATGACTCCTGCAGGAGAAGGATGTAAACAGCCACAGCTCACCCAGCTGTTACTCAGAGAGGTCCTGCTGACACGTTAGGGATCCCCACATGCTGCAGGACCTTAAAAATGCTTTGACATGGTGATTTGAGATATGTTTATCACTTAAATCCACCAAAACACATTAGGTCACTTCAGTTTACACTAGATTAGAGTTTGGGTCTTTTTACCAACATCTTCCAGAGTTTTGAGCCCAGAGGAGAAAGAAATTGTTATCTGTGTTTTTATACATACAGTGCTTCCCAGCAGAGTCTTAATGTTTAACAGACCCCACCCCTGCAAAAAAGGGCTTTACAAACAAGAAGAGGGGGAGAAAAGGGAGATTAAGTGATGTGCAAAAGGTCACGAAAGACGTACAGTACAATTTGGCACAGAGAAATGCATCCTCCACCTCCCAGGAGGCTTACTTCAGCTAAAAGGAACTACCAAATTACAATTGTCACTAAGGCTGTGCTCCAAAGTGTTCAATCCAGGTTTTGCTATCTTTAAAGCTGAGAAAAATACCTGCTTGCTGCAGCATGGAAGAGCTCTGGGACAGAGGCTGCTGGATGCATATGAGAAATGATGCACCAGGTGAACAAGAGACACTCAGGTGAACTAAATCCAAAACTATTTGTGGTCAGTGTAAAAAAACCACACTGGCAGGAGCTCCACTACAGCATCCAAGGCTGCAAACTCTCTTGCTGATGCCCAGGAAGCAGCTTTTGCACACAACAGCAAAAGGAAATTAAAGCACAAACTCATGGATGCTATTGAAGCACTTGCAGACTACAAGACAGCTTCAAGGTCATGCAAAATTCATGCTGAGAGGTCCAAATGCCCAGCAAAGACAGGCACAGGGGCAGGCATTACAGCCAGCTTCAGGAAAGGAAATATTTTAAGAAATGTTTTCACAATAAAAAGTCTGCAGGGTTCAAATTGAGACCCCTCATCTGTAGGTCTGTGTCCGTTCTCCAGGGCAGGTTCACAAACCACCAACCTCTTGTAAGAGGCACTGACCCCCAGCAGAACCAAAATGCCCTTTCTATACTACTTTTAGCTAAATTCACACACAAAAGTCCTATTCTTAGCAGCCAAATATTTATTTGTGCATTATTTTTCATAGCTCAAAGACAGGAAAACCAGGTTTAAACCACTAGTGCCATCAGCATAGCTGTGGTACTGGGGAACTCTGCAGGAACTAGGAGTCTTCAAAGTAGCTTTCTCAAGCAGGTTTTTGCAAGCTGGCACCAACCTCCCTGCTATTACAGTGACACTGCCAGGGACAGCCAGCCCAGCCAAGCTAAAGCTATTCTGAGTGTATTTACACAGACTAAAAACTACACAAAACATACACTTTGGTAGCACCAGGCTTTAGAACATCACCACGTAGTACAAGAGGCAATATTCTCCTAGACCTTTAGATTGTTTATTTACCCACCTCAGTTCATCAACTTCTTTGCAGCGATGGTCCCAATATAACATTTTTAACTTAAACTGTGGCATTCTGGCAACTACCTCAAGATAACAGGGCTTCTTTTTGAGCAGAGGCTAACACAGTCTAAAAGACTCAAGCAGCCTAAACAAGTGAAATCCCATAGAGAGAGGAGATGTCATCCCCAGGGCTTCAGCTGCAATAAAGGCATCCCCAACAATGCAGCTGCCAGATGAAGCCTTTCTTGCCAACACGTTTTAAGTGTTCATGGTGGAAAAGGTGAAGAGAAAAACCTTGACCCCACCAGCAAACATCCTTCTCGCTGGCTCAGGGAAGACAGCTTTAAGATGTCAGTACAGCCGAGACAATAAACTCATTCCTCAACGGGGCAGAAGCCAAATTCTGCGGGGAAAGCGACAATTCAGGAGTGCACAACCACGGCATCCAGACCCCCGGAGCTGCGGGGCACGGCCGGAGCCCCCAGCAGCGCCGAGCATCAATCCACCTGGGGCGCTCAGTGCCCACCTGGAGGGGTCAGTGCCCACCTGGAGGGGTCAGCGCCTCCCTGCAGCGGTCAGCGGCCACCTGGGGCCGTCGGTACCCACCTGGAGAGATCAGTGCCCACCTGGGGCGTCGGTGCCCACCTGGAGAGATCAGTGCCTCCCTGGAGCGGTCAGTGCCCACCTGGGGCGGTCAGCGCTGCAGAGCACGGCCGGAGAGGAGGAGGAGGAGGAGGAGGAGGAGAGCGGGGGACTCTCCCGACCCGCATCTCAGCTGGCCGGAGCCGCCCAGGGCCGGGCGCGGAGCTCGGCGGAGGCGAGAGCAGCAGAGCAGACCCTTCTTCCCTCCGCCCCCGTCCCGCCCCTCCAGAGCTCGCCCCGCTCCCCGCCCGCTCCCGCCGCATCTGCCCGGAGCATCCAACCCTTCCCGTTCGCCGCTGGCAGGCGGGGAAAGAAACGGGGGATCCCCGCTAGAGAAGAACCCCGAAGCTCCCTCCCGGGAGAGAGGGATGTCCTGGGCAAACAGCTTTTCTTTTTCTTTTGTGTTTTGCTTTCCAAAGAAAGGAGCGGCGAAAATAAAGATGCGGGCAAACAAGTTTTATTTAAGAGCATGGCCAAATATTTGGCCACGCGGGGCTCAGGGGATGGGGTGGGAAAAGCAAACACAGCCAGGGCAGGTTTCATCATTTTTGCGGGCTGGTGTTGCACAGCGTGCCGTGTAAGGCTCGGGAGCGACAGGCACCGCACACGGGCAGCAGAAACAATGATTGTCACAAGCGGCAGCGCGCTCATTGAATTACTTTGTAATTCAGGTCCTCTTGAAAACAAAAGAGTGTGTTGGACGTGTGCATCAACACAAGAGCACACAGCTGTTCTGTTCAAACCCAGCACCTCGATAAACCCTTAGGCTACAAAACGATGGCTCATCTCAGGCTCCTCACCCTCCCTGTGGTTCCAATAACTGGTTAAATCGAGCTGTTCGTGAGTGCCTCTCTAGGCTGTAATCTACCTTCCATCAGCCTGCCAGCTGTGCTGAAAAACAAAGCCTGAACGGAAATCAGGGACATGCATGCTCAAGATCTGCTGAGAGCTTAATTATTTCTTGTTAATTGGAGGTAGGGCTGCTTCATTTCTTAGACCTGAGCGTTGAAAAGTCGTTTCCTACTTTGAGAACTGACAAGCTGCAGATGAGAAAAGTGTTAATTGGACTATGAGTATAATAATTCTATGGCTGTATTGCATTTAAAATCCAGTAAGAACTACTACAGAGAGATATTGCCTTGATCTTGTTTATTTGAAATCAAAGATTAGTGTTGATGAGCAGAAACTGTCACTGGTGGAGTCCTTGGTCCTTACAAAAAAGGAGTTTATCCCTCAAGAAATTGGCAGCTGTCATCCATTTCACATTTAGGCAGTCAACACTCTGAAAGCAGCTGAGGCGAGCTAAGAAGGTGCTTAGTCTGGAGTGGGTTTCTTTCTCAGAGAATTCCCCTCCCTCTGCCATGTGCAGTAGCTGTCACCAATGCTGACCTGCATTGCCATGGGACTCCCTGCTTTGTTTGCACCCTGAGGTGGTTCTCTGAGCCTGGCTCAGCTGCAGTTTCCTCCCCAGGACTGAAAGCAGCAGGCCTCTGCTCTCCAGACTCAGGGAGCCCAGGATTTTCCCAGCTCTTTCACTCAGCAAAGCAAACAGCTGAGCCATGTAGGTAACCAGATAGGATGGCAGCAGCAGAGTCCACAGGCTGTTAAAGGTCTGGAGCAACAGGCAGACAAAATTCTGGGTGAGAGAAGAAAGCAAGGAGCACAGCAGCTGGGGAAGAAAAGGAAGAACTGAATTGTCACTGCAATGATGTCTTTGGAAGATGTTCCACTTTCAGCAGGATTTTGCAAACACCAGTGCTTGTTCCCTTCCCTCACCCACCCAACAAATGTTATGTCCTACAAAAGACAAGTTCAAGCTGCTGTGTTCAAGTCAACAGTTGTACATATGAGGAATTCTAGGAGCACTAAAAGGTACCCTAGACAAGACCAAGCTCATTGTTAGCACTCTTAGCTTTTGAAAAACTAGGAAATTAATGAATGTTAAATAAGTTGTTACTACACTGATTTGGTACCACCTTGGTGGTGTTAATGGTCTTAAAAGTGCTCTCAACTGAGGTGTTGCTGATGCCATGCTAAAGCTCAGCTTCAGGGTGTGTTAGTCAAATAACTGCAGTGGTTAAGGTGATTCCAGTGCTTGGCTACTCCAGCCTAAGCAAGGTTTGCACTCCAGCAGAACTGGTGGAAGGAAACATGAGTGAGTACCTCAGTTGCTGCAATTCAAAACTCCCAGCAATGTAACTGAGCAGACAGAACTGGGAATAGTGACAGTGGAGGCACAGAGCAGCTCTCCCTTGTGAGCCCCTTCTGCAAAGGAACAGACAGTCAAGGCACACGGAAAGAGAAGACACACAAGACATGAAGCTCTTCCACTGCTTGAAATTTATCTTTTGGGATTTGTGTTAAGCCTAAAAGGATTAGGGCAGCTGTGCTTGCAAGGAGACTTCTGGCCTCAGCTCTTATTGAGCAACTGAAATACATCTTATTTTCAGTCACATGCTCCACTGTAAGAAATCTGAAGCAACTTTTTAAAAGTACATAGTACCAGCCATAAATACCAGGAGAGTTTTTACACACAGTTGAGTTAAACTTCTTATCTTAGAGGAATAAATAGCAAATTTTACCATTTTAAATGCAGTTCTCAAGGACTTCTAAAATATGTATATGTACCTTTAAATATATACACACACACATATTCATGATAGTCGTTCTGCACAATTTTGTGTTACCTTTACCTCGTCTACAACAAGAGTCATCACAAATAGGGAAGGCAGAAAATAAAACCTCCTGTTAGTTATTAACCAGGCAGAAACCTGGTTGAAATCTTGGAGCTTTGTCTTGCCCAAGAGACCACTGAGTCAGGCAGAGGTGAAAAAAGTCAGAGCTGAGGCACAAAAGCAGTAGATATGCAAGGAGGCAGCCTGGTCCCACTACTCACCATGAGGATGTTACAGAAAATGCTCTTTTCAGCACGGGAATATCTTATCTTCAGCCTCTGGGACAAGCTGTTTGAGATCACAGCAAGAAGACTTTGCTTTTGGCTTTTAGGATTTGAGCTCACATAAGCAGGCTTGGGCCTCAGTGTTCCCACAGCTCCACTGGACCATGACTCCTCTTGTATCTCTGTACTGGATGCATCACTCTGGTTTTCTTCCTCTGTTAGCTCATCTTCAGAGTCAGATCCAGGTTCATCAGGAGATTCTTTCTCAATCTTTTCTGTGCTGGGCATCTGTGCTAGAAGCAGGTTTAAAAAGAACATGTAAAACACCTGTATGTGACTTTTTTTTCCCATGGCTGCAAGACTTGCACATTCCATCTAGGAGCTGGACAAGGTTCCTCTGAACTTTTTCCAGCTGAAATAAAGGACTTTCAAACCAAACTAGACAATAAAAGGCCTTTACAAGTGTTTAATTTAAACTAATTATCTCTTAATCAGCAATTTTATTAAAGGAGAAGCTGAAGCACTACCTTTTCACTTGTGCTTGTTATAAACTAGCTTAGAGGAAGTGGATATGATGGAATTAGTCAGGAAGTTATTAAAAAGAGTACTTGTACTTTTATAACTGAGAAAAGCTTTAATGTTCTTCTTCTGTAAATATGCTGGTATGTAAAAATTTAGTGATTTGTCTAGCCTTACTGGTTAAAATGTAATTTAGAGCATTTGTGGAAACAGTTGGAGGCCTGGTGCTAAGAGCAGTCACTACAGGCCAGAAATTGTGAATGTAAATGTAGCAAGAATAACCTGAAAAATCTCCTTCAAAACATCAAGAGAATCACTCTATCCAGACAAAAGCTTGAGCACTCAACTGAAGTGTAAGGATGTGGCATAGCTATGTAAAATAGATATTTTGTCACTGATTTTGAACTTCCTCAGCTGGGATTAGATTTTTTTCTCCAGCATTAGAGCACAGTAGCAAGGCTTTATCCTCACAAGTACAACAATAAGCTTATTATTAGCCTAAACCAAAGCCTGTTATTGATTGCTGACACATTAAAAGAAAAAAATTGGGATGGATTAGAAAAAACAAAAAAAACTGGAAAAATACATAAATAAATGAAAGTGTATGTCTTACTCCCTTCAAAACTTTCTATTAGCCTCAGCATAAAAGAATTCCTTACCAGCTCCCCCAGTAAAACCCTCCATGCCTTTCCAAAAAGGAGAGGTGCAAGAGAACTGTGAGGCCAGAATTTAAAGTGTACAGATTTAGAGGATTAGGCTTGCTTTCTGGGAGATTTTTGAAATAGAAACCTACAAAAATTACTTGTCCTTTGTCCTTCTTAAATCAAATAACCACTGAGAAAAAGGGAGAGTGTAAGAAAGGTAAGAAGCATCTTGGTTGTCTTATAAGCATTTTTAGCAGAAAAACCTAATAATTTGTTTGTTTTTTCTAAATGCTACCACCAGTACCAACAAACCTTTAGCTGCCTGCTGTGACAAGTGGCATTAACCTAAAAATAGCCAGCAGAGAGCTTTAAAGAGGAAGTTAACTTTATGCAGCAGCATTTTACCTGATCAACTGCCCAACTTACCTTCATTAAGCAGCAGCTGCAGCCAGATAATGGCGATGATCAGCAGCATTACAAAGGGCAAGCAGAACCAGAAGAAAAGTAGAGGAAAGGTCAGCTCGTTCACCAGAGGAACCAGGGGATACCTCATGGCTCGCTTCAGGTTACTCTAAGTTTAGAACAGCCCGACTGCTCCCCTTTCTAACCACCTTTTAATAACTCTCATTGCAGCGCTGGTGGTCACAAGAAAGGAGTGGTAAATCAGCAAAGGGGACAGCCCCGCGCTGGGCAGGGAGCAGCGGGGATTAATAGGGGATCAGAACAACTGAGAAAGGCCAATCGAGTCAGATGTTTTCTTCAGCTGCTATTTAGAGGATAAATACAGGTTAGGAAGCTTTCCAGGCTTATGTTAAAACTGTAGTTATAGTTCTTGTCTTTGGACACAGGGGAGGTAACCAAGTGCTTTGGCCACTTTGAGACTGAGTAGCCAAGGTTTGCTCTTGAGAATAAAACAGATTCAACCCTCCAGAGAGGTGTAGAGGATGAGCAGCTACAAGATTCTTCTCCTGGGCTCTTATTCAATGTAGAGCACAAGTATGTCCCATATAGACTATTTTTAGCCTACTCTGTATATCCTCATCTATTAGTTAATCCTTTAGGGAAATAAACCTTTATATTTTAATTGCCCTTCTGTCTCCCTTCCCTCCAAGAAAGGCAACTAGCATATTTCATAGGATGTGTGTCTATAAAAGCATTGCTTAGGAGTAAAGGAATTCATCAGTGATCAAAGGAGGAACCAGATATGTGATTTGATAACCTGATATTCACCACGCTGTGGGTTTCTCCTTCAATAAAATAAAGCCATAATCTATTGCTTACCTCACAGAGAGTTGTTTGACTAGACTGTTTGTGTAGCTCTCAGGAGAAGAGAGCAGTGATGTAAATGCACGTTACAAATGATTGCCTGCATTTAATATTCTTGCTCGTGAGCGTGTGTTTGTTTTTATGTAGTAACAGCTCCTTGAAATGAGCCTTTTAATCCCAAGATCTAAATGAACTCTGCGAATTCTTATTAATTCACATTAATAACACCTTTGCACGATAAAAGAAAGCTATTAGCCCTGCTTTGTGAATTGGGTAAACAAGTGAGAAAAGCCATTAAAGCCCTGAGCTTCAAGTATGCTCAATATTTGAGTCCCCATTTCACACAGTGGGGGTGGCAGGTTGGAGGCACCTCTGGAAATCAGGCTGTTGATAGTTTGTCTACAGTGCTCAGAGGGATGGAAAGGAGCTGAAGCTGTGATCTGTTTAATTTTCATGATGAATTATGTCTCTTAGTCATATCACGGGAAGCCCTTGGAGTCCACGCTGGCTCTCACTGAGCTGAGCCAGCCTGGGACATCCTGGTTGCCATGGCAGGATGGATCCCACCCTGGAACCCCATCTCCCCAGGGAATGGGGGGTGAAATAAGGGGGAAAGGCCCTCCCCATTCCCTGCCTGGTGGCACAGGAGTGGCAGATGCCTGGGCTGTGTCTGTGACCTCCTGTGCACAGCCCAGGGCTGTGGGGCTTCATCTCCACACAAGCCACAGCCATTGGGAAGGTTTCCCAGCCCAAGTTTAAAGGGCAGGGGGGCCCTGTGTGAAGGGGAGCAGGGGTACAGCCCAGCCCCAGGCTGACTGGGGTACCCACAAAATCGGATTTGTTAGCTGGTGTGCAGCAAGCCAACACTCGAGAGGGACACTGTTTATTCCAGAGCTGCCCCAGCCTGGGTGCTCAGTGGTACTCCAGAAATCCAGCATACCCCCATGGACTTTCCCTGCCATTATTTGTGCACAGAAATTCAGAGTTAGTGACTTTCCAAGCACAGCCCCTCTGTTAGGACTGCTTAGTAAATTCCATGCAAGTTACATCAGCCTAGCAATTTCTGGGCATTCTTGGGGGAAGGGTCTTTTCTAGCATTATAATGAACATGTTCAGCTCTAGGACACATGGACCTTGAGTATTTTGCCAAGTTAGCAATATATAGATAGAGATACATCAACATGCTCGTTTGCTACATCCTTAAAGCTCGTTAGCTTCAGGATGCCCTTGACTAAGGGATGATCCTGCTGTCTGTTCCACTGATCAAGTCTCCCTTCTTGCTCATTAGGCTTGAAAACGCACAAAGGTCTTGCCTCAAAGAACATCCCAATTTAAGATAATCTTGGCAGGTTCCACCCTGGGGGTGCTGGTGGACAGTGGTTGAGCCAGCTGTGCCCAGGGGCCAACAAAGTCCATGGCACCCTGGCCTGTCTCAGGTGCACTGTGGCCAGCAGGACCAGGAAAGTGATTCCTGCCCTGCGCTGGGCACTGGAGAGGGTCACCTGGGCTCCTGTGCCCAGTTCTGAGCCCCTCAGCCCAGGAAGGACAATATCCAGGGCTGGATGAGGCTCTGGTCTGTTGACGTGGTTGCCTTAAGTCATAGGTTGGACTCGATGGTCTCGGAAGCATTTTCCAACCCAAATGATCCTGTAAGGGATGACAGCAGGTCAGAGCAGATGATTGTCCCCCTCCGCTCTGCTCTGCTCTGGTGAGAGCCCACCTCAAACATGGGCACAGCGGTGTGTCTGCGGCACCAGAGGGACACGGAGCTGCTGGAGCAGGTCACAAAGCTGCCGAGGGCACTGGAGCACCTCGAGACAGGCCAGGAGGGCTGGGGCTGTTCAGCCTGGAGAGGAGAAGGCTGTGTGCAGGCTCATGGCACATTTGCAGTGGGTGAAGGAGCTCCAGGGAAGCTGGGCAGTGACTCTTCCTCAGGAGCTGCAGGGACAGGACAACGGGGAATGGTACAATTGAAAGAGGGGAAATTTAGGTTCAATATTAGGAAGAGATTTTTTTGGTGTGAGGCCCTGGCACAGGGTGCCCAGAGAGGCTGTGGCTGCCCCTGGATCCCTGGAAGTGTCCAAGGCCAGGCTGGACAGGCCTTGGATCACCCTGGGATGGTGGAAGGTGCCATGGCAGCGACTGGAACGAGATCTTTTAAGGTCCATTCCATGATTCTGTGCTGTGCTGGCTGCTCCCTGTCCCACAGGTTAGATCTCCTCTCCTTGGAAGCACACAGAGCTCTCACATTACGGAGCACACCCATTTAAGATTATGTCGATTATTTCAAGACCCCGCGCCTCACAGCGGCGGCGCCCCGGAACCCCGGTGCGGGCCCGCGTTGCCGGCCGGACGCGGGCGGGAGGCGCGCCCGCCATGGCGGCGCCCGCGCGGGTGTTCGCGTTCCGGGACGCGCGCTGGGCCCCGGACCCGGTGCTGGAGCCGAGCGCGGCCGTGCGGAGCCCGCAGCCGGTGCCGCTGATCATCGACAACGGCTCCTTCCAGACGCGGGCGGGATGGGCCTGCCCCGACCCCACCGTGCCCGCCGAGCCGCTGCTGCGGTTCCGCTCGCTGGCGGCGCGGAGCCGCGGGGCCCGCGGCGGGGCCGGCGCGGAGACCCAGGTGGGGAACGACCTGGGCAGCCCCGAGCCCCTGCGCTGGCTGCTGCGCTCGCCCTTCGACCGCAACGTGCCCGTCCAGCTGGAGCTGCAGGAGCTGCTCCTCGACCACGTCTTCCAGCGCCTCGGCGTGTCCTCGCAGGTACGGCCGGGCCGGGCGGAGCCGCCTGCGGATCCCGAGGTGGTTTGGGTCGGAAAGGACCGCGCTGCACCCCCTGCCGTGGGCATGGACAGCTGCCGCTGCCCCGGGCTGCTCAGATTGCCGTGCAGCCTGGCCTTGGACACTTGCAGAGATGGGGCAGCTACAGCTTCCCTGAGCCAGTGCCTCACCAGCCTCACAGGGAGGAATCTTTTCTTAATTCCTAATCTACTCTCCTAAACTTGCTGCTGGGTAATGCTCTTATTAGTAGTGTTTACTGACCACTGCATACCCAGCTGTTTTGAGAGTTGCTTCTCAGACCATGGAGCCCTTTACCTGCATGACAACACCAGTTTGAAAGCTTTACCCAGAGTGGAACTAAACTTCCACTGCTTTTCACTCACCTCCTTATTGCATAGATTTTGGCTACTTAGATTTTTAATAATTTATATGTGTCTTTAAAAGTCCATTCTCCTCCACCATTATGAGTTTATTCTTTGGTTGAATTAACATTAACATCTTTTTTACCCTCTTAAACACTAGATATGATTTAACTTCCATGGTTAATGCCCTGCACATAAAGTGCTTTCTCATGCCCATTTTGGAGGAGTTTTTGCTGACACATAAAAGAAGAAGCAGAGATAACTAACCCTGGCTTTTCCCTTCATACCTTTATTACTGTTCTTTCCCCTTGTCTCTCCCAGGGCTGTGTGGATCACCCAATTGTTCTGACAGAAGCAGTTTGCAACCCTCTGTACTCAAGGCAAATGATGTCTGAGCTCCTCTTCGAATGCTACCAAGTGCCAAAGGTGTCCTATGGCGTGGACAGCCTGTACAGTTTTTATCACAACAGGAGGCAGAACTGGCCCTGCAGTGGTTTGGTGATATCCTCAGGGTACCAGTGCACACACATTTTGCCAGTCTTAGAAGGCAGGTGAGTTCTGAGTGTCTTAAGTCTGGTGCGGCCACTGGCTTTTCAAGTGATGCAAATACCTGTTCCTCCAGCCCTGCACTATTAACTCTTGGAGTAATTTATACTGACGAGTTAAAACCAGGTCTGCAGATTTTGCTAAGTTATCTTGAGTTTTGAATTGAAGAAGCAGTGCAGCTCTTGTAGATTTTGTGTTTTGGTTGTTAGTTGTGCCCTCATGTGTACTTTCAAAGGGAGAGGGGGATATGTGCCCCAAGTGAAACTGGGCATTAACAAACATAATTTAGGGTTTAAAGCTGCTTTGGGATAAAGGGAACTGCTCTGTGTGTGAGAGTTCTGCAGTGCTGGAGGCTTTTATAATTTTGGTTGTTCTGCTACATTGCTTTACTTCCTCTTTTTGCCTTTTTTTCTCTTTTTTAATCCTTACTGCAGCAGATGGCTTTATCTGGTAATAAATTTTCAAGGTTTACCCTTGTCCGACCACTAAGTGTTACAAAGGTTAAAAACTACTTTTAGCACCACTACCCATCACTTCTCTTGTTAGAGCAGAACATCTCCTTGCTGTAGCCAAAATTATTTAATATTTGGGGTTTTTTAAAAGCAGACCAGAGCCTTTCACAATAAAATAGTGAACACAGCAGTGATTTTGCTGTTGCCTGAGAAAAGCAGGCGTGTTAAATTCTCTGATAA